ATTATTTTTCGCTTAGTAGATATAATAATTATGTTCATAAGTTCACGTTATTTACGTGTAGTTTTCCGAAAATCTATTTTAAGACTATGGCTTATTTACGAGTTATTTATAACGTTTAAGAAACATGTTTAGTTACTGACTCTTATAGAAAATTTCCGGCTTCTTTCTCGTATGGAAGTTCAAATTTGTTTTATTTTTCATAGAAAAAATATTTTTTGAATGACTTACTTTTTTGATATCTTAGAAAAGTGCTTAAAGAGCAAATATTGATTTTTGTCTAATTTCTTTTCAAGACACTACGTAAACTAGGTACTTGTTGTGATGTTTAGGCTTTATTATTAATAAAGTAAATATATTGCTTTGAACTGTTTAGTTAACTCAATGTTTATTAACTTATCTTGTCCAATTTTGCTATCTGATGTTTTCCACAATATATTTATTAAATATTAAAGTATCTATTATATTTCTCAAATATTAATTCGGCCTTAACGTTCACTTAAAAGATAAAGCAGCTAAACTGGCATTGGCGATCTTCATGCCTCATGTCTGATGAAGTAATTCCTGTATAAATATCGGTCAAAAATAGTAGATTTTAATTTAATTTTAAACAAATGTAGGTTCTGAAGGTATTCAAAAATCTTCGCTTAATATTTTAAAGATGATTAAAATTATTTGTAATCTTTAAATATAATCTTGAAATAAGACTCATTCACACGTCAGGAACAGTTTTTTAAACAAATTATCTTCACTTCTCGAGTTTTCGAATGCTAGAGAAAGTTCAAATTATTTTTGATAATTAAACCAAAAATTACATTTTTTTTGCTTTTAATTTTATTGCTTGAAATTCTAATTTGTTAACATTCTTAGAATGTTTGCGGTTCTATCACAGGTGGATTTATCTGTAGCAACAAATTAAAAATAAATTAATAAATAAGAAACAAAAAAAATTAGTAAATTGTTTCAAGGTTTATTTTTGTTTTGATTTTGGCATTTGTAGGTTGTATGAAAAATATTTACCTTTAATTATTTTGAAATACTCGTGTATTTTTTTTTAAGTTGAATGATCATTGAATAATGTACAATATATATCTATTACTTAATACAACCCTCACCTGTTTTTTTTTGGATGTTTGCATCTTCTGTCTGCAAGTCTTAAACTGAATCGAAATTCTTTTCCATAGTAGCGGGTTTAAATAGAGGCATTTCTGTGCATAATTAATGAAAATTTATAGAGTTGGATTTCGGATATTCTGATATATTCTGATATCGGATATAATGTATGATAGTCAACTAACGTTCGCTGCAATATTTAAAACGCCGATCTACAAAATAATTTTCCTTTATATATGGAGGAAAGACTTTTGTAGAGGGTTATCACTAATAGAGGGTTATCAATTTTGTGTTTCCGGAAGTGAACGTATATAAACCATATTCTGATATATTCTGATATCGGATATAATGTATGATAGTCAACTAACGTTCGCTGCAATATTTAAAACTCCGTTCTACAATGTAATTTTCTTTTATATATGGAGGAAAGACTTTTGTAGAGTGTTATCACTAATAGAGGGTTATCAATTTTGTGTTTTCCGATGTGAACGTATATAAACCACACTTTTAATTAAGATTTTGATAAAATTATTGTTATCGAGTTCTAGATATCTTACAGTGCTGGTTCATTTTGATACGAGTATCATTGTTGATGACTCGTTGGAACCTAGCAAGCAATAGCTCCGCTATAACTTATCGGGTTGGAACTTCTTTTTTGGTTGATTTTTTAGAAAGATAATAAAAATTGTGTGTATTTCCTACTTACTTTTAAATGAACTGATTGAAATTATCCACAGAATTTTTTCTCACAAATAGTGAAGACTTTTGTTGTAGGTTACTATAGCTTCTGCTCAAAAAGTATCCGGATTTTGTTGTCCTTAAGTAATAGACATTTTCAAATAGATAATCAAATAGATAACCTTTTATGAAACTGAAAATATTTCTATTTTTTATTTTCTATTTGGTTTAAGTACAGTGAAAATACTTCGATAAATGTGAGAACTGATTTAAAAAAAAAATCATTGCAGCTGCTTTTTTCGCAACCTTTTTTTAACAACCTACTCTATAAAAATAAATTATATAAATTAACTAGAAAAACATTTATGTAATGTGATTTAATAATTTAAGAGCAGTAGGCTATTAAGGCCATAAGTAGCTAATATAATATTATTAGCAATTTGTTTGATTGTTAAAGAAAAACTCTTCTAAGCTTACATAGTATAGGTAATATAATTTATATATGCCTTGTACAATATATCTTAATAGTAAAAAATGTAATTACAATATATAATTAAATTTTAAATTACAATACTTAATGTTAAAAAAAATTCAGATAGGTATAAAAAGAAGGAGACAAAGTCGTTGATTAGAATTTGTTTAGAATAGTCAATAATTATATGACTAAATAGATCGAAACAAATAAAGGTTCTAAGATCTTCAAAGTAATCTATTTATGCGATGAGGTCCAAAAACAATCACGAATATTCTTTAATAATTTTAATGTCAAAATATAAAATGTTTTAACTTTATCTATGCTCTAATAAATCCCCATTTCAGATGTATTAAAGCAGAATTTAACGTTATGATTCTTTTTGTATACTATTTATCATCAGTATAAAATCACAATGCTGGTGAACTATTGTTTTCTTTACTAAACGTCTCAATATCTAATACTTTTCAAATGTATTTCTTTGCTATTTGACCTTTAAAGTTCAGATATCATTTTTCATATTATATCTCCATTGTTTGGCAGCATTTGGTTCTCTGCTACCAGCTCTGCGTGTGTATATATTAAGACTTTTTACTGTATTTCTTCGCTGCATGACTTGACTTTTAAAGTTCGAGTACCATCTCCAATATTTTGTGTCCATATTATTGTTATAGCCAAACATCAACCTAATAGCAAGTGCCCAGATGCACTAACTCGGAAAAGGCTCAATATTAGATAAAAGGTTAACAAGATACTATACAATAGGGTAACATGAGGAAAAGAAGGACTAAGAAATAGGTTACATGTAGGGATGCTGCATCTATGTGAAAGAACCTTGCAACCTGATTGTGGCGAAGCTCTAAGTCAATAGGACTCAAATTTACGCTTGAGCAAAAAAAAAGGGGTGAGAACATATGCTGTAGAGGTACAGTTGTGGCGTACATTGAGAATGGATTTTACTTATGTTATATATGACAAGTAATTATTTACCAAAGTAATTGTTTAAAGTAATTCCTTTATTCTAAACTGAATTGGGATAGTTGTTTTTGCCTGAGAATAAAGTCTTACATCCCTAGAAATATTAGAACATTTTCGTGAGATAACCGTGGTCTCGAACAGCACTGCTTCTGTGCTGATAGTTTAAAGTCTCAGGGACTTTAATCGTCCACATTTATATTTTGTCCCATAAAATGTTATTTATTTTGTCTTCATCATTTTGGCAGATGACCTCTTCTTGTCCCCTTGTCTTCTTCTTGTCTTCTTCTTGTCTCTCTGTCTTCTTCTTGTCTTCTTCTTGTCTTCTGCTTGTCTTCTTCTTGCCCTTTTCATGCCCTCTCCTTGCCTCTTTTTCTACTTTCGTGCTGTACTGTTTAAAAAAATTTTAAATTTTTGGGTGTTCATTTTTGTCTTCATTGCTTTGCCAAATCGTTTCACATCTTAACACATTGCGTTTCTGGAACGTGTCCACATCAATAAACTCTTTATGATTTTTTTAGTTTTATAAAATTATTTGTTACTCCTTTAATGCTGGTATTATTTGATCTACGAGGCGTATAGGTCTAAAATTTTTGAAATGTTATATATAGTATATGAATGTTTTATAATTTTATTATGTAAATGTAAAAGTTCCAAATTACTTGCCTCGTAAAAATCGTCGCCATTTAATATGCAAATTGAGTAAATTAAATACAAATTCAAAAGCATATCATCATTAATGTAATAGTTCTAAAAATCTGTCTAAAACATTTATTATATTCCTGATTGTACAATTAAGTCTAATTAATTTTCAACTATTCATTTATAACACCAAAAAAAAAAAGAAAATAATTTAAACACACACATTTACGTATCCAATTCCATACTAAAATTATGTCTAAATTAAGCGACTAAACGAATTTCACTGAAGGACAACACATTTAACTTAATAGGCACTTAAATGCTTAAATATACATGAGAGCAGGCACTGAATGTCCTGGCGAATGAGTGTAATTGTGTTGAAATCGTTAAGAAATCGTCGCTATTAAAAGCACTTTCCGAGCACTAAGCAGCAGCGTTTAGTGCGTGTACAATTTCAATTTAAAAACATAAAACCTCATTTATTATATACCAAAAATCTATTATATGCTTTTTTTATTTTGTAAATAATTTATTGATTTATTTTATATATATTTATGTACTTTTTTTTAGACAATTTCCCTGCAACAACGTAATTTTAAACAAAAAATTGTCGCCTTGCTGAAACGCTTTAAGGCTTCTGAGGAATTGGAGGGTGATGTGAATCGCGGTACAGCTGCTTTACGAGGCGAACGTGATTTGGATGCATTATTTCAAGAGTTGGAATCGTTGTCATGTTGTGAGGGTGATGATTCAGGTCCTGATATGGACACATTATCAATTGGCTCCACACCGAAACCTTCGCTGCGTCCATTTTTCACTAATTCACGTATAATGTTGCACGACAATGGCGGTACTGGTAAGTTCAAAACTCTTTATATACCATATTGTACTTTGTATAAATTATATTACATTAAATGATACATACATTTTTTTGAAAAGTATTGAAAAGTTTGTTGCTTTTTATTATTATTATAATTTATACATAAGTAGGACTTCGAACGTTTTTAATATTGATTTTATATTTTTATATTATTGGTATTTTAAAAGTTTTGACTTAAATTTTTATTTAAGTTTTTATTTGAGTTTGTTATTTTTTATATATATAAGTAGACGTGAAATTCTAACATAAATTATTAGAGAACTTTTTATTTTTCTAATATTTAGTATTGAAAGCAGTGTAGTGAGTTCTAAAGTTCATAAAGTCAATCACTTAAAGGATTCAACGACATTGTCTTATAACCATAAATTATTTTATATGTCTTTAATTTGTTACTACGCCATAACAAATTTTTACTGAGTGTATTTAGTAAATACTTTCTTTTTTTTTAAATGAGAATAAATATAATACTATATGTATTTAGTAAATACTTTCTTTTCTTATACATAAGAACAGATATAGGTTCAGATATAAGTGTGAAATTTTTAAAATCCTAAATAATTTAAGGTTCCATATAAAATATTTTTTCTTCCTTGAACTAAATCACTAATAAATTTTATTAAGTTTAGTAGAATATAAAATATTGTGTTTTTAATTGTTTTTTGAATTACTGCCAAGCACATTTTTCATGTACCTACAATCTCTAAAAGTTAATAGTACCTTTTAATTGCCATGTAAAATATATTACTCAATAAAAAATAATTTATGCAAATTGATAGTAAAATTTGTGTGTTTACCGTTTCTAAAAAGAAAATAATACTTAAGAGAATTAGATAAGGCAGTAAAATTTATTGCAATATTGGCAGAAATAATAAATATAAATATAGTATATAATTCATTACAAACCAAAACAAAAAAAACAACGAAGCTATTTGTTTTTATTAAGCTTGAAAATAAATTCGTTGAGAATTATTTTATATTTTTAGGTTATTTATAATATATGTGAATTTGTATATTAATTTTATAATATATGAATAATATACTATATATATTATTATATATAAGAGTGAAATTGATTGGAGATGATTAAAATTTTGTTCTTAATCGTGAAAGATCTATTCAAAGATACTTTAACAAAAGTATCTTCAGCTCAACAATGGATTTTAGTTATTTTGAGCAACTTTTTCTCTATGTTGATACGGCTCAGTTCTGTAGAATATACTTTTATATACTTTGAATATTGTATACTGTGTATATTGTATATTGTATACTTTGTATATTGTATACTTTGTATATTGTATACTTTTTTATCGTTACTCTAACAACAACTACACACATCGTCTAGTTCAAACTAGTTCATTTTACATTAATTATACTAACAATGTCTAACAATAAGTAGTCGCGCCATCTTGTGATTCTCATACACATATTTCCAACTTTTAACAGCGATATCTCGATAACTATATAAAAACTGTGTTAACATCTAGCATAGTAAAAAAATTGTTGCTCAACATAGCTATCCTCGTTAAAATCCTAGGTCCAATAGTTAAGAATTCAAAGAAATCTTTTATAAAAATTTATATAAGGTCTACTTAAGCAGTCTTATAAAAAAGAGTATGGATCAAAAAATCCCTTTCTTAATTTATGTCAATTAATCAATAAATATTTTATATTTTTTATTATGTATATTCTAAAATAGTTACAAAAATAATTTTTGCATTTTGCTGTAATTTACTAACAGTAACAGAAATTGAATTTTAATTAATAAAATTGAATTAATCAAACTTATATACCAAGTTATATTTTGTTTATAAATATATTAATATTATTTAATAACTAATTAGAATTTTTTTTATTTTTTTGTTTCATATTTGAAATTAATAAGAATTATTATTATTATTTTGATTTTGTACTTAATTTTGTGATTGAAATTGCATGGCTTGAATAATTTCTTTTGCAGGCAACTTTGAACGCAGATCATCGGATAAAAGCGACCAATTGACCAATTCGTCTTACAATATTGAAAATAACAAACAAAAATGCATTCATTTAACAAACAATAATAATTCGGCAACAACACCAGGTCTGTGTAATTTCATACAACAACAAAATTACAAATTAAAGAATGAAAAATCTTTTACTATTTATAAATTATAAAAAATTTTTCTTTCTCTTTTATGTTTTCTAACTTTTTCAAAATTTTCACAAATCAATTAAATTGATTAAACAAAATTACTTATAATTTTATACACTTAACACTATTGTACACTGCTAAGTTTGTTGTTTTTGTTTTTGTTTTTTATTTGTGCATATAATTCCTATAAGTAAAAAAAAAATTTTTTTTCTTTCTTGTACATATTTGTATCTTAAGTTGACTTCACATCACTTTAAATGTTACTCCAGCAAACCTCATCTTCTTATTTTGCTACCAATTACTTTCACTATTTTTTACACCCACTGTACTCTACCGAACACTAAATGAATGTTTGCTCCCACCTACCGAACCAATCACTTTTTTTTACAAAATCCTATCACTTTTATCTGTTGAAAGCTGTTTCATTTGCTAATTAGAGTAACCGGTAACCAACCAACCTCTACAAATGCCTTCAACTATATGTGTAGTTAGTTGTGCTCTATTTGCCTATATATATATAACATTTAATCCTTACTATGTGAGATACTAATATATAACATACTAGTACTATGATTATGATTATATGTAGTGTTGCATGATCTTCTATTATATTTTAACATTATTATATAAATAATTATACAAAAAGATATACAACATTTATAAGACTATATGAATGAATTATTTATTCATGAAGGATCCCAATGCAAACTTTTAACTATATTTTATATATTTTTTGGTTTTATATTTTATAATAGTGATTGTTATATTTAACAAATTTTTATGTTCAACGAATTTTTATATTTAACGTACACTAATTAAGATTGTTGGAAATTATTGATTTTGTTGTAGTAACATCATTTCTCTTTAAGGTAAAAAGAAGGGAAGACTCTTAACATATCCAGACGCTCGATCTTATCATAATAAATATTTTTTCCATTAGACTCTTCTCGATTTTTGTAAAATATCTGAAACTATTTTTAGTTCATAGAATGGTTGTACATATATGCTATTAATATTCTATTAATATTCAATTGACGCGACCTATGCGACCTATGTCACGCCCTTGCTTAAATAAACATAGTTCTCTTGATATTAAGCCTAAAGCTTAATATCTTGATTACATATTTTCCCTTAATTCCTTAAACGAAGTTTCCACATTGTAGTAGAAATCCTCTCTACTCTTTCCTTAGAAGTGGTTTTAGTGGGTTAAAGACATACTATTCCTAAAACATAAGCAAAATTATTACATCTCTACAGTCAGTATATAACTAAATAATCATTTTCATAATATTCCAAACACTTGTAAGTAGAAGAATTCACTTCATTAAAAACAAATTCTTGTTTTCATAAAAATACTTCTTCATTATGAAACCTTCTCTATGGTATATGAAAATAGATAATTTTGTCATTAATGACATTAAATTATTTAAATATATATGTTTTCTCTATCTTATCTCTATCTCTATCTATCTTATTATCTCTATCTTTGCTACACAATATCGTTATTGTGTAACAAAATAAAGACGAGCGGGGTATATGCTGAAATGATTGATTTGTCTCAACTAATTAAGTTTGCTTAGGTTATACCGGCAAAGGGTTCCACTTAGACCTATAGGGCCATTGTACTACCGTATTATTAAAAACACAAAGGTTAAAACCATCTAGAACCTTTGGTAAAGCTTATGATGCTATTCAAGTCTCATCTAATTATAATGAGAAAAAATACTGTGACGGTCTATAAAGCTATGGGTACTTTCATTATTAAGTACGCTGTTTAGTGTGAATAATCTTCTATGTGATTAACTAAGTACAGTATTGTCAAAAAGCATTTTGATTTTATACTCCATGCATCCAAGTTCTTAACATAACAAAACACAAATAATTATTATCTAAACAATTTCATTTCTGTAGTGTGATATAAAAGGAAGTTCCAACAGCAAAACTATGTTATTCTCACAGTTCGTACATTTTTACTATAGTCGCTTATATAAAAGTCTTTTACCTAAACAAGTAAGTTAAACCAACAACAAGAATTTCAAAGGCCCTACTCTTCATATGACTTATCACACTCTAACCACATGTGCAGATCGAAAGATAACATCAGCGACTCAGATCTTGTTTCAAGCGATTAATTCAAAACTCTACAAAAATAGTAGCAGAACATCCAAAAACACAATATTATAGTAACACAATAATAACTAACTATTATTATGCTTTGCCTTTATATACTTTGCCTTTGTCTTAATATAGGTCAGGATTTTATGAAAAGATTCGCAATGTTGCAATTAAATCCGTTCCAAATGTATGCTTTAGCTACAATCTAGCTATCTACACTCGTCAAGCTGTTCAATTGTTCATATCTAGGACCATTATTAAGACCATTTAGTCACTGATTCTGTCATACTTTAGTGAGAAGTTTGAATTAGGTCTATATGTTTGACTCAACTATGTCACATTCAAGTCTCTGTTCACTCCCATCTTACTGACTTTTATAAAATACCTATACTTTGTAGAAAGATCCCCCTCCGATATTAAGGCTTAAAGCTAAAGCCAGCTTAATGTGTTAAGCTGAATTCGAAAGTAGAACTAGTAGAATTTTATTATCTAGAAAATATTAGAGATAAAGTTTTCTAAGTTATTCTGCTGAATTGAATTCAAAAGTAAATACTAATTAAATTTCTATATCTAGGAAATATTATAGATCAAGTTCTCTATAAATTTTCTCTACCAATTCTAAATCTAAAAAAAAATCATTTTGATTGCTAGATTAAATAATAACGAATAAAACTTTGTATAATTGTGGTGCCAGTAATATTGTGCCTTAGTAAATTTATCATTGTCATCGATACGAAATTACAAGTGTTAAAATACAATCTTTCATAATTGACCGCAAAGAGCAGCACATCCGTGCAAGTACGTATATAGTAGTTTCGTGTATCTCAACTTAACCGCAGTGTTAGCGTATGCTTCAGTCACCCTTCGTCGTTGTGTTCAAGTACAAGTATTTTTGTCTCGAATTCATGTGCGAGCGAGTATCTTTCTTATATCTTATAAACAAGTGATTAATTGCATTCAAATGGCGGCATTCCCAAGCAACATGTGATTTCGTTGAAATAGTTTTTCAGCTTGAGATAAAAATTTTATTTTATTTTCCAATATTTTTATTGCTTGCACCCTTTTTTTGGGCCAAACTTTTGTGGCATTGTGCAGTCTGTTGCACTTCACTCTTGACATTGTTTCTTGTATTTTATATTTTGTATATTGTATTTTGTATCTTGTATCTTGTATCTCGAATAAAAGAAAAGCACATTCCACTTTTTTACACGTTTAGCTGCATCATTGTTTCCTAGTGCATTTTCTTGGGCTTTGTTTTTTCTTTTCTGTATTTTACAATTTATTTTAATCTTTTTTTAGCTTTCGTTTTCTATGGCGTTGTGGTATTTTCAATTATTTGACAAGAAAATTTATAACAAAAAAGCCATGATTTATGCATTTGCATGTTCACAGTATGCATTTTTTCCTTCTAAAAAATTTATGGTGTGCATTTTGTCGTTCGAAGGTTGTATGTTTTAAAATTAATTAATCTCAAGATACTTGCATACATATTAGCTTTTAGAATGCACTTTTCAATATTGGAATAGCTGAAGTCTATTGTACAATTTTTATCATCATTTTTATTATTAAACTTTTGAATAGCTAATTTATATACTAAAAATTTTTGTATCTATGTTTTTAATTATGTCATTTTGAGTGAACAGATGGACACTTGTATCTACAAGCAAAATTATAGATATATATTTTTCTAACATAATATCTAAGTACACTATTGAAGTTAATTACTATATTTATTGTTAAAAATATTTTACATAATTATATATTTATATATTAATGTACAAAAATAATACGTCTAATAATAATTATCAATCATTAGAATAAGAAAAATACTGAATAAAAATACCAAATAAAAACTTGTAAAGAATTGAAGTCTGGAAGAACTGAGGTCAACTCTTTAATGAATATATATTGTGCTGCTAGAGAGGATTCGCTACTACTTGAAATGATACTTAAAATACATTCTCTAATAATATTCATGTTTAATTCATTTTTACTCTTTAATAGCTGAGGGGTTTCTGCAGAGTCCCACCCTACTCACTGACAGGTTTTATGTATTTGTCAAAAGCTTCGTGATTATTCGATCACTAATCTAAGATCTGCGTACTGCCCCGTGCGGCTATAGATTATTCTGAGATTAGATAGTGCTAATTAGGGCGGCCTGTCGGTTATCGGAAATAGCTTCACGGCTATGTCCCTTATGTATTTTTTGACCAGGTTTCTTAGCATGTCATTTATGCGGATGTATCAAAATACTTTAAAGAGTCTTCGTACAGCCTGACTTTGTGCAAATTTTAATATAATGCTGATAACAGTGAGTCTACTAATGATTAATGTTATAATATTAGGTTAAATTTAAGATGTATTTAATGAAACTATTCTGTTGTTGTTGTAGTTCAAGTAGTTTTCTCCTTTTCGGTAATCAAGTAGACTACTTTTGTGTCTCTTCTCTTATGAATAGTTCAACTTCAATGGTTGTTGTGAGAGTCAATAGGGGTTATATATAAAGAGGGACTTCAAGACATATATATACATCCGTTCTGAAATAATTCTAATTCCTTTTATATTGGAATAACTTTAATTAACCCAAAAAAGGGCGAAATAAATTTAATTTTATTCAAATTTTACTAATTTTTATCTCTTTGAGTTTTATAGTATAAAATTTATTTACAGTTTCATGATTTAATCTTTAATAGAAACATTTTTTAAATATTCCCTAATCTAAGCATTTTAGGAATGTTCTAACTCAGAAAACTATTAGTTTTCAGAAAAAGACTGATATTTACTATTCTCATAAGCTTCAAATACCACTATTAGGTTCTTATTTTTTACAAAATTATATGTTACAACTACTATCAAATCTATCACTGTCTCTTTTACTTTCCTTGTACTTTATTCAATAATCAATCTCTCTGCACTATTTTAGAGACCTATTATAGACTTATTATTCTATTATCAGTAGCTTTTAAAACTTTGGCTTCCAGACTGCGCTTTCTTCACTCACATAGGGCCTTCATCTTATAGATTTTTGTCTACGACTATTAGAAATTCTTTAACCCATTGATTATTTACGTTAAATGCATGCTGATGTTAGTAGATTGATTTTGAAAAACTTAATTTATATTTTATATATTAAACCCTTTTTTAGACAAATACTTAATAATATATTTAAATATATAAATTAATTATAAATATAGTTATAATAAATAAATCAAATATACTTATTTTTTGCATGTTTATCTTATTTATTAGACAGCCTACGTTTTTTTTAAATTTCTATTATTAAAATATTTTATTTTCCAAATATTTTATACAATTTCACAATAAAATTTTTTTAAACGATGTCTGACGATTTATTGCAGATCGTGGTATAGAATATCGCAACGATAGTTCTGGAAATGAAGGTAACACATTTAATATAGATGGCCAATTCTCCGACTCGCAAAATAGTCCTCCACGTACTGAAAAAGATTATATACGCTTACAACAGCAGCAATCACACCAAGTAACACCCAATAATTCCAATTTCAGTGTTAGTAGTGCAGTAATAACACAACCGCCCAGTGAAAAACGCTCTCGTCTATTTCGCACTTCAAGTAATACGCCCAGTGGTACCAGTGGGGGTAAAAAGAAACAGACTCTTAGTTTAAGCGCAGAACCGCGCTCAGTATTAGAGACATGCCTGTCTCCAACTAATGTAGAACCGCGTAAAATGCTTTTAGATCAGATAAGTAAGGAATTCTCCAGTGAAGATGCTGTCATACCTGATGTGGTCACGATTATAACTCCACCAGAGGCATTAAGTGGTAGCAGTTTTATACCAAAGCTTACAACGATTTTTGCAAATTCATTTAAACCATCGTTTGTACCTCAAAATACAGCGGAGGTGAAAGCAGTACTACAGGCGCTTATGGTGAAAATTCAGAAATAGTAAGTAACTCATTCATAGTAAGTCCATTTAAATAATAAATAATTGTTCAATTCTTTAATAATTTCAGTTGTAATTCCAATGCAAAACCACCAAATACAGTAAAAATATTGCTTATTGGCGGGGATTGGCTGCAAGGTGCTGCACTGCGGCATTACGTTGAGCTGATGGGCGTGAGACCACCAGATTGGCTCAATCATTTACGTTTCTACATTGTGCCGATTGGTAGCAGTGCTATTGCAAGATATCTAAGTCAAATGGATCAAGCATACGGTTCCATGTTCGGCACTGAAAATTGGTATCAATTGTGTGAACGTGTGGCTGTTACAGCCGCTGCTGTTAGTGCAGTGACAACGGTCAATGCAACCGCACTCACGTCTTCGCTCGCTGATAATGCTAATGCAAATAAGTTCAATATAGTGGATTTATTGATACGTATACAAAAATATTTACAAGCGGCCGGACCCTGTGCTCAAATACCAATTGCGGAAGCTATGGTCAATTATAAAGACGAAGATTCTTGCCAGATTTTTGTGCCATTCATTTCTGTAAGATACATAATAACAAAATTTAGTGTTGTTTTTTAATTATTCAATGTTTTTTTTTTTTTTTGCCATATAGGATGTGCGCATTGGTTACCTCGAAGGTCCACAAGCTTCACTTGATCTCGAAGAAAGTATGACTCAATCTACAACGAGTGTAGCACAACAAACAAGTGCTACTAGTGCAATTCCAATTGGAAATTCTGCTTCCACAACTATGATTGGTGGTGGTAATATTATGAGTGGAAATGGCTCACCACCGCAAAGTGGACGTATTACACCACCAAATCAAACACCACCATCATCAGCAACATCACAACGTGAACGTATAGGTGATAACTTTGGTACACCACAACAGGTTAATGTTGTACAAGTTGAACCAGTAGAGCTGCAAGTTGACTACTGGCCGATTCTAAGACATAGTGATCATTCTATTAAGGATAAGAGTATCACGCGAAGTGGTGATCAGGGTGGCAAAAATAGCATTAAGAGTACATTTAGAAATCTACAGGTATGGCGTTTGCCGCAAAATGCTCAAATTGGTGAAATGTCTAGTGGATTGACTGTTAGTTTTGCGACTAAGGAAAAGAAACAAAAGCAAAGTAAGTTTTAAATTCGAAAAAATAAATTTCATATTATTTAATTAATACTTTGTTAAAAATTGTAGTTATGCGTTTGGGCAAGAAAAAGGAAAAAGATCGTGATCTCGAAAAGGAACAATGTGTAGAAGGTGTTGCACGTTTAATATGTTCTCCAAAACAATCTCATCCAGTACCATTAAAAGGTTAGTTAAAACTGTATTTAGAAAAAAAAGAACTATAGTTAAAGATGCTCACGAATTGAGTGTAATTCAAAAATGATTGATTCTTTCGAAATTGTATATTCTATTAAATTATTTTAAAATGTTATAGAAGTGCTTGAGGAAAGAGTATTCTTTCGATTTCTTTATTATATTATCAATTTCTTTATTATATGGTCCATTTATGGATATATCAATAAACCAAATTGTGGTATCTGGGTCAGTAAAAATCCAGTTACTTGTGGATTGTCGAAAGACCAATGTGTGTATGAGAGACCCACACTACTTTGAAAATGATGAAGGTGTAACAAAACCTTAAATTTTGATATAATTTATACTTCGCTTTGAAGTGAAATGGAAGATATGCGACTTGAACAGGACGTTATTACAACCCAAAGAATATCTTCTGCTTTCTCTTTGTTGCACGAAAAATTTCCCGCACATGTAGTATCATGTTTTGGTGATTTGAGTTAGTCGCCAAGATCATGAAATTTGTCACTACTATACTTTTCTTTGTAAGGTTACATAAAAAATCTTTATAAACTGATTATTCTCAAAATATCATACTTAGAAAACGAACGTCCGCCAAGTTATTGCCGAATTATTACCATTTATTTGGTGACAAGTCACTCATAATTCTCTCAACTGGATTTAGTATTGTAAGATGTCACTTAGATGACGTAAAAATAGATTTGTATTCCATATCTGATGCAAAAATTTGATCAATATATTTTTATGAATGACACTGTATGTTTTTAATATTATTATCTTTCTAAATTTTCTTTACATTTAATATCAATACCTATAAATGATAAAATAATATTTAAGTAGGAAATCTTACAAAATTTAATTAATTAATTATAAATCAAATTTTTAATTAATTTAATATTTTTCTCATTGCAGTATATATCGATGGCACAGAATGGACTGGTGTTAAATTCTTCCAACTATCATCTCATTGGCAGACGCACGTTAAAAATTTCCCAATTGCCCTAATTGGACATTTGCAATTTCCTTGCGCTGAAATATCCTAGTCATTTTAATTTAGTTTTAAAATCAATATGAAAAAGGGAAAAATACATCACAAAAAAAAAGAACAAAAAACAAAAAAAAATTTAGTATTGATGTGAAAAAGTTTTAGTGTTAATTCTTAATTATAAATGTTGAAAAATATTTGTTTTACAACTATGCAACAACTTAAATTATATTTTGTAAATTATTTTTAATAAATGTAGTAACTTTAACTATGTTTAAAATCGCAATTCTACTTATTTTAAAAATACGTAGACAATTACATAAATTACATATTTATATAGAATTATACCCGTATTTATAATATTTAATCGTACAGTAGCATAAATATACTCATATAATTATTAACCCAACGTATCGTTATGAAATGTAATGTTCATGGCGCCATTCAGTGTAGCGTAACTTAACCCAAACGAATTTCATATATAAATGTTATTAATAAATTAAGTATTTTCAATTTTTACAAAAAAAAAAAAAACAAAAAAAAATTAATTAGTCGATAAATAGCCACAATATTATCTTAAAATATCTGTAGCGTTTAAAAGTTCTTAATAATTAAAATCTACTTCTACTCCATAACTAAGCCGAATGTAATATATATATTTATACATATATATAATTATTTAAATATATATATATTAATCTAAATATATATAAAGTTTATCAAAATGTTAAATATATAAATGTATTTTGTAGGAATTGTTGCTGAAAACGGCACATTTTATATGTGATTTTGTATGAAAGAAAAATTGTTTTGTTTAAGGAAGTTTCAAAATGTATTCGAAATTAAAATAAATGTACTTTAAATGTTCCCAAGAGTTGGTTACTAGTAAAGCTCAGTTAAATAGAAAAAGAAATTATTATGAAAATAATCATATACGAGTATACATATATGAATATATATATATATATATACATATATGAAATAATAAAACGCGCATTCAAAAAGCAACAATAAAAACTAATATAAAATATATAAAAATTTATATATATACACTTCTATATATATATTAAAAAATATATTGTAATTGCTTGTATTTATATTTAACTACCAAAATACGAGTTTAATTCTTTAACTCTAATTGTTGTGATTTTAATTAAATTTTATTAAATAAAATTATATTATATAAAATAAAACAAAAATAAAGTTAAATAAAATTATTATTACATATAAATATAAAAATTAATAATGCATATATATTAATATTTGACTAATTATATATAAAATTTTCTATAGTACATTATTACCAGTTATTACATTTTACAAAAATATATATCTAATATACATTTATCACATATATACAATACATATGCAGATGTTAGTTTGTAGTTAAATAATTAAAATGAAAATGGTTGATTTAAAATGATGAAAATGATTAATATTTAGGCAAAAAAAAACATCAAAATATGAATTAAATTAAGCATATATAATTTATTTATTAAGAAGTATATATATTTAATTTAAACAAAAAAAAAAACCAAAATTAATATCAGAACTTACACTCTCATATAAAAAGACTTACAAATATATAATATATAAAAGAATTTTTTGTTTATTTTTTATTTCTTTATTTTTGTTGCTATTTTCGAATTTATGTCCCAGCTTTGATAAAATTAAAAATTTTAAATTTTATGAAGATAGTATGTACTAAAATATTTTATTCGATTTCATAAATATTACTAAAAGACAAAGGCACTCATAAGTCTTTTTTTTGTTAATTTGATTCGGTTGAAAATTGTGTCTTTTATAATTTAGGTATATATATTTATTTGAATAGTTCAACACTAATATAAATATTTCAATAATTAAAGACAGTTTTCTTTGATTTGTTTGAAAATTCTTAACACTACTACTGTGTTATAAACAGGACCATAGTTCGCATAAATTTGGAATGTAGTTCTTCTAATAAGCGTTAATCTTAAAAATAAACGCAAAACAAGAGGGAAAAACTTACACGAAACAAGAGATTAGAATGGAAGGTACAAAGGATATGTAGAGGTATTGAGGTTCAGCTGGTTTCTGATGAGGAAATCTCATCACTTTGACGTAATACCACACTAAATTAATAGGAGTTATTTAATGTTAAATTTTTTTCGTCAAAAGTAATGTGTCTTATGACGAAAAGAAACTATTTTGAAAGTTAGAAGGATTCGAATAGAAATTAAAAGACAACAACAAAATGTTTAGTTAATTTATTGAAGTTTGGCTGACCATACATCATTAGAAAATATTAGTGCCAGGTTTAGAACTCGTGGTTGTCAAATTAGAAGTCTGGACCTTGCAGTTCAAATAAATTATTAAAATTAAATAATTCGAATATTTCCTAAGACTACTGATGACAGCCAAACTTTAATAAATAGACCAAAATTTTTGTTGTTGCCTTTTTATTTTTATTTGAACCTTTCTAATAAGAGTTATTGTAAAGAAATGAGTTTATATATGCGTAACAAGTGATTGTGTAATATATAGCTATATCTGAAGCTTGAGTTACGATAGTTCTGTTCAGTTTAGTGTTTCAATGTAATAAACCATTGATTTGGTCCAAATATATTCTTCGATATCTAAGTTATTTGTTCAGTTCGGTAACTTTTAGTCTTCGCTTTAGCGATTCCAGACAGAATCTGCAAAGTATCAAATATTGTTAGATTTAAATAGCCTGAAAAGTAGGAGATTTCGGTTGAAAGTCATGATTGTCATATTTTTAGACGATAATATGCTGATTTCTCGAATTACTATTATATATTATGCTTTACACAGGAATTAATAAGCAAGCGTTTTTTCTGTCTTACTTAAGAAACTGGCTTTACGCACAAAATATTTCAGAATAGTGATCTAAAGATAGCTCGAAGAATGCACATATCAAAACTTACGTGTGACATAGCACGTATACAATCAGAAAAGCATAGTGTATATATTATGTTTAGCGTGGACTTGATCGCCCTCGACAGTCCAACACAATCACCGTATTGATAGGCTGTAGCAGTTGTGGCTCATTGGGACAGGAAGAAATTCATCTAATCTGTCATTATTCAATACTCAACTGAAGGGATTCATCCACTCTAGTCTTAATTTCTGAAGTATCTGTACAATGTTGCAAATATAGGAATTAAGGACCGATTTATTGAAATCATAAATTAGCCACCCACGGGCTCCCATTGGTTACTACTATCAATTTCAGCACCTTAAAGAAAATTAGTTCGTTTTAATATTGCAGTATTTAATATAAAAGAAAAGTTATATTATTTTGAGAGCGTTTAAGTAATAAACTTTTCATCATTTAAATATGTTGTTAATATAGCAATGCAATAACAGATATATATGTTATTCTTATGATTCCTAACTTAAAGAAAACTACGTATAATTTTCAGATGTAGTATTTCTATCAGAACAAATGCATCTTGTAATCTTTGAAAAAATATTCTTCTTTATAATCGGTTATCAGTACACGGGATAATTAATGATGGATTTTTGGATAGTGCTTGTGGTATAAGACCTATATTCTATTTCTAATAAAAACTAAAACCATTATCTAAAATTTAATCTATTGTTCTTTTTCTACTTGAGACTTGATTCAAACTATTTCAAAAAACGGAGCACCATTAATAATGTAAATTCAATATGGACCACCAAATATTGAAAGTTCTGTAATAAGGTTATATATTACAAGTTTAAATAAGGTTATAAAACACTGGAGAATTATGTCGAGTATTCGAGTACGATCGACTTTGATATAAACAGATGAAGAACTGCGATTTTCGTAGAATTTTTACAACGTTCAGTTTTGGTGTTTAGATTGAGGTCAATATTCTTGGGATTTTTCATAGTTTTTATAGAACTAAAATATAAGTGAATACCATTTATGAACATCACTTAAAATATAATTGTCTAGTCAGTTACGACTCAAAAATAAATTCATTTGACAAAAGCATGTGTTAGGAAGTGTTTTTGGCTAACAGAATTACATATAAAACATTAATTTAGACATAAATTAACATTTATGTTCCGATTCAATTATTATTTATTATTATTTTATTGTTACAACAATTATTTGCAAGTTCATATAAATTCAGTACTAATTTCACTTATCATACAATTTATGCTTATTTTAACTTTTAAATTGCAGAATTATTATTAAAACATATTTAAGTAAACTAAGCGTAAAATTGAATTAACAATAAAAAAATGTATTATTAATTAAAAAAATAATATTTATTATTAATGAATAAAATAATACAATTGATTACTAATAAACAAAATAAAATAAAATTTATTATAAATAAAAAAAATATAATAATTACGTTAAAAAATTATTTAATTCCAGTTTTTTAATTTTTATAATAACAATAATAAGTATTTTTATCGCGATTTCTTTAAAAAAAATATATATATATTGAAATAAATTAGGCATATTTATAGTGTGGAATTTTCAATTATATCGTTATAATAAATCAAACAATAAATAATTTTAAATATAATTTTTTCATAAGATATGCAAACATTAATTATAAGATATAAATTATGTGATTGACTGAATTTTGGAAATTAGTGGGAAATTATATTTTAAAAAATATTACATAAATTGTGTAGTATTTCCAGTAGATTTTAATTTTAAAATATAAAATTAAAGATAACAAAATTATCAAAAATTAAAATCTATTTGGATATAAAAATTAAAAATATTTACTTGCTGTGTAATTATTGTAATTATTAGAAATATACTAATAACAATAACATATATCATTAAATATAGAGTTACAATAATTCATAATTGTTTTATTTTAAAAAAAATACCAGCAACAAAAAAGATTTAAATTAAATATTAAATAAATATGATTTCAGGCAAATAGATTACAAGTGACATAAGTTTTTAATTTAAAATTTTTAAATTAAGTTGGTATATTTTTGAAGTAGTGGTTTATACTATATAAGCAAGAGTTTTGGGGTTCCAAATTTCACTAAAATTTATCTGACACAAAGATTTATTCATATATACTTTGAATTAATTTTTAAAAAATCTCTCTTCCGAAGTCTTTGATACGCCGGAAAATGTATAAAAAATTGTCATTATTTTTTGTT